TGTGCCTACTCACCCACCCGCACGCCGCCCTCCCGGTTAGACCCGTCAACCAATCAATCATTGGCTGGCTGGCTGGCTGGCTGGTTGGTTGGTTGGGGGATGGATGGATTGGGGGAGGGGGGGGTAGGTGTGCCTGGGGAGGAGGGACGGGTGCATGTTGATGGCGCCCCAGGGCAGCGCGTCGAGGACGGATGGGGGGATGAAGTGGCCGAAGGACACCACCACGCCGATGTCGAACGCGTGCCCGTCCTTTGTGAGCGGCACCGCCCACTCCTTGAGGCGGGGCGGCTGGTGCAGGGGGAGGCCCGTACGCAGCGCAAACTGCTTCACCGGCACTACCGCATCCGGATGGCGGTGGTGATGGTGGAGGGGGGGGGCAAGCGTAAGGCAGCCGCACGCCATCATGTGGGGACGATCGGTTGGTCGAATCATTGGAGGGATTGGGGGCGATACCGCTCCTGGCGCTCGTCACTTTGTCGACGCCCGTGACGACCTCCAACGCCTCCACGCCCACCGGCAATAACCGCGGCGGCGGCGGCGGCGGCGCTCCCAACGCATCAGCACCTGCATCTATGTGTGTGTGTGTCGTGTGTGTGTCGTGTGTGTGTGTGTGTCGCGCGCGCGTGTGTGCGTGTGTGCGTGGTCACAGGACTGACGTATCATGTCGTCATTCAAAGGGGTGCGCAGAGGAGGAGGGAGTACCAACCTGCTGGTGGTGGTGCTGGTGCTGCTGGTGGTGATAGGTGATGGCGAAGGAGGAGGTCCAGGGTGGCCAGCGAGATCTCATCAGAGCCAAAGAACAGCACCCGCCACCCACGGCCCACCGGCGCCGCCTTGGTGGTGGTGGTGGTGTTGCCATTTCCCTGCTGCTCGGCACTCGTAGCTGCAGCAAGGGCTCGTGCAGCACCGGTGCTGCTGCTGCTGCTGCTGGTGCCCAGTGCCCCGACCACTGCCTGCTTTGCACCGCCGCCGCCGTGAGTTGGATGCGTGGATGCATTTGGCGGCCAACGCGGAGAAGGCGCACATGTGTGGCCTCTGGTCTGTGGCACGTGCGTGGGTGCGTGCGGCGGGTAAAAAGGAGAGTCAGGTAAGGAGGAGGTACCTGGTGGCGCTGCTGCCGGGAGGTAAGTAGTGCGGCGAAAGAGCTCCATGCTCCTCGCGGGGTGGTGTGGGGCACAAGGGGAGTGGCGGCATGCCTCCACACTCGGCGGGTCTGTCTCATCTCGCACGACAGCAAAATAGAAAAAAGAAAATGGCAAATACAACAAAGAGAGAAAACAGCAAATAAAGGAAAAAAAACAAAGAGCGCCAAAACACAATCCCAACGTTGCACCATGGAGAACGAGCAACTGCTCACGAGCCCTCGCCGGTACCCCCCCCCCCTAAACCACCAGCCACCACCACCACCACCACCACCACCACCACCACCACCACCACCACCACCACCACCACCACCACCACCACCACCTCCACCACCACCACCACCTGTGTTGTGCCCAACGCGCACCGGTTAATTGAAGACTGGGGTCCTGCTTTCGATCTGGTGTGGCGGCAGGTCCGTCCGCTTGGCCAAGCGCACCACCACCGGCAGCAGCAGCAGCCGTAGCTCCAGCAAGCATCGCGCGGAGGAGGAGGAGGAGCCACGAAAGAAAGCGGCAGCAACTGCCACGTCGGAGGGCAGTAGCAGTGGCGGCGGCACGCGGGGAGAGAAGGAGGAAAGAAAGAAGGCCCGCCCACGCGCGAGCCCACCCGACGAAGAGGAGCCCGCCCACACAGAAGAAGAAGAAGGGGCGGCGCTGGTGATCAATGAGCACCACCGGCCAGCCCTCGCAGTAGTACCATCACCACCACCACCACCACCTGATGGTGGCGCCGCCGATGCTGGTGATGAAGACGTGGAGGAGCACGAGAGAACCGGGGCGCACAGCAGCCGCCCTCCCGACAACCACGCGGATGACAAAGACAGCGGCGGCGGCGGTGACGATGAAGATGATGGCAACGACGACCCGGATGAGGAAGAGAGGGAGGAACTGCGGAAGCTGCGGGTTGTGGATCTGCGGGCACAGCTCAAGGCCCTCGGACTGCGCACTGCGGGACGCAAGGAGCAGCTCGTGGTCGCTCTCCAGCAGGCGCGCCGACTCCAGCACCTGAAGCCGCCTCACGACGACGACAACGACGACGACGACGCGGGCCATGGAAGCCAGGCGGACGACATCGACCAGGTGGATGAGGGCGACAAGGAGCACCCTACTGCTACCACCACCACCACGACTACTACCACTGCTACTACTGCTGCTACCAATACTGCGGACGACGGCTCGCTCTCCTCCGGCACGAACGGGGAGCACGACGCGCCCGCAGCGGCGGTGGTGGAGGGTCGCGAGGAGCGCTCGGCCGATGCGGTAGGCCTATTACCTTCGAGTGCACCCGCAACAACGTTGTTTCATGAAGAGCGGCGCCATCACCACCACCACCACCAACATCAGCCGGAGGCGGCGGCGGCAACTGCTGCGGACGCTGGCAACCGAGCCCTCGTCGGCTCCCCGCTCCAGCTCCGCCACGACGGCAACGGGGCCGGCGATCAAGAGCACGACGGCGGCGCAGACACCCTCCTCCTCCTCCGTGAGGATTCTGCCGCCACCGCCCATCCGCAGCCGCGACCGGGGCGCGGGCGCGACGGAGAAGCTACGAGTGAGCTTCCGCCGGCAGCGGAGAAACGCGCACACGGGCCGGGCCGGGAAGACAGCCTCCCGCTCGTGCTGGCCGCGTCGCTGCTGGTGGCCCTCGTCGCAGTGCTCCTGCTCCTGCTGCCGCCGGCACGGACCGGAGACGAGGGCATGGGCGCGGCCGCGTTGGTGCTGGTGGCCGCGGTCGTCGGGGTCGGGGTGGGCGCCAGCGTGGTGGGCCGCGCGCTGGTGAGCTGGGGCGGCGCTGTCCTCCGGCGGAGGCGCTCCGCGCGGCAGCTGGGGGCCGCCATCGGGCGGCTGCAGGCCAACCGGCGCACGCTGCACTCGTTCCTGGGTCGGCTGGCCGACGAGAAGGCGCTCGTCAAGCTCCAGCTGGAGGACCTCTACAACCACCCGCTCGCCGTCGCCGTCTCCACATCGTCGGGCACCGCGCAGGAGAGGGCGGGGACCATGAAGCGGCTGTCCACCAAGCTCGCGCGCCTCTCCGCGCTCCGCGAACAGAAGCAGGCCGCCCTGCGCGACATCGACCACCAGGTGCATGTGCCACTCTCTCTAACCCCCCCCCCTTGCTGCATGGTGGGTGGTGGTGGTGGTGGCTGGTGGTGGTGGTGGTGGCCGTGCCGTGGGCTGATGAGTCTTCTTCTTCACTCTACCTTCCTCTCCTTACCAGCTGGCGCGCCTGCAGTCGCTCCGTGACAGTCAGCACTGACCAATCAGGGACGTACAAATTAATAATAATAAATGGAAAGAAAAAAACCCTGTTTTACAACAAACCTTGTGGGGCACCTGCGCACACGATGGAGGAGAAGCAGGATGAGGGAGTCTCCCCCCGCGAAGCAATTGCTTTAATGAAGAGAGGTGCACTGCATGTCTATAATAATACCTAACAAAATGAACTTAATCATTGGGGGGGGGTTGCTGGGGTCAGGCTGTTCGTTCCTCAAGTGCGGGTCACGGGGCAGGTACGCCCCTTCGTTGGTTGGGGGGGAGGGGGGGGGTTGTGAATTGGCCCCACCAGTCTCTAACAAGAATGGGGCGGGGGTGTGGTTGGTGGCAGTCCGCACTTCCGGGAGCTGAAGCTGAGCGGCGACCTCACCACCCTCTCGTGGACGAGTCCCAAGAAGACCAGCAACCAGTCCACCATCGACGTCTCCCACATCAAGGCACCCACCACCCATCCCGCGCCGCTGCTCCTCTTTTTCTGACTCTGTGGTCCCATCCAACGCGATACGTGCGTGTGCGTGTGTGCGTGTGTGGTGTGTGTGTGTGTGGTGTGCGTGCCACGGCGTGTCGGGAATGCAGGAGATCCGGATCGGACAGAATACGCCCGTGTTCAAGAAGAACCGAAAGGTGCCCCCCTCCCGTGCTCTCAGTCGGCCCTGGGCCTGACGTCCTCGATAACGAGGTAGAAGTATATATATACACACACACACACACACACACACGACAACACTTGTGTCTACATGTAGCCCGAGTACGAGAACGTTTCCTTCTCCATCATCTATGGCGACAAGACCCTGGACCTCGTCTCCAAGAACGTCCGCGAACGCGACATGTGCCTACCCCAAACCACAGCAACCACCACCATCCCAATGACTGCGGCGCGGCTCACGGCCAACGACAAAACACGACACGACACGGCACGGCACGGCACAGCACGGCTAACGGCACACTGGTGGTGGTGGCTGGTGCAGATGGGTGCAGGGCCTTAAGGTGCTCACACTGGAGCCCCACCTGCTCTCCGGTGCGGTCCCTCTTGCTGTGTGTGGGTCCTCCTCCCGCGTGGGGGAGTCGCTTATGTCCGTGCGTGCATGTGATCAGAGGTGGACAGCGTGGCCACCGACGAGGAGAAGGTGTCGGTCAAGTTCAAGGGGAAGAGGACCATCGTGGAGAAGCGGGAGGTCAGCAACGACGTATACGCCTGGGGACAAGGCGCGCCGCCGCCGCCGCCACTACCACAACCACCACCCCCCACCGCCTGATCATGCGGGAGTCGCTGACCAGAGTCTCTTCTGTTGTGTGCCATGTGGTGTGTGCGGTGTGTGCGGTGTGTGTGCGTGTGTAGGTGAGAATGGACGCGTGGGCCACGGCGACGAAGAGGACCACAAGGTACCGCGCGTGGTGGAGGCCCTCCTGGGCAAGGATGTGCGGGGCATCGCATGCGGGGCCGCACACACGGCCGCCTGGAACGGCGCGGGCGTCCTCTACACGTGGGGCGCCGGACAGGGCCGTCTAGGACACGACCACGAGCGAGGTGCTCTCAATACCCCCCAATCTATCTCTATCAATATCTATATATTATATCTATACCTTTTTTATCCCCCTCCCGTCAGCGCGGTTGGGTCGGGTTGTTGACGCCTCAGCCGGTGGTGGATGGTGGATGGATGGGTGGGTGGGCGGGGGACAGACCGGTTCATCCCGCTCGAGGTGTCGGCCCTCGGCGGCAAGAAGGTGGTGCAGGCCGCCTGCGGCTACGCCCACACGGCCGCCATCACCGGTACCTTACCCCCCCCCATCCAGCTCTCCTCCTCTCCCTCGTGGGTGGCATGGTGCTTGGTCCCAATATCCCCCCAACCCCGATCCATTTATGCATGCATGCATGCATGCATGCTGGTGGCTGGTGGTGGCTGGTGGTGGCGGCTGGTGGCGGGTGGCGGGTGCAGATGCGGGGCGGGTGTACACGTGGGGGCAGGGCAAGGGCGGCGTGCTGGGCCACGGCGACGAATCGGCGTGCTCCACCCCGCGCGAGGTGGCCAGCCTCGCCCTCCAGGTACTCCACCGCCGCCACCACCCCTCATCCAATGACGATCGGCCGCTATTCTCGCCAGCAGCAGCAGTCTGACAGGTGATCGTCGTCGTCATCGTGGTGGTGGTGGTGGCGGCGGTGGTGGCTGGTGGTGGGCAGGGCATCGTGGCCAAGTGGATTGCAGTGGGGTTCTCGAGCACGATGGTGGCCACCGGTACACCACCACCCCTCCAACAAGGAGGCTCATTGTTGGCCAACTATAACTATAGTAGTATCTGATGGCGCTGGCGGTACTGGCGGCGGCGGATGTGCCTTGTGATTGGTGTGTGTGTGTGTGTGTGTGGTGTGTGTCGTGTGTGTCGTGTGTGTCGTGTGTGTCGTGTGTGTGGTATGAAAAGGGTCGGGCACGGTGTACGCGTGGGGCGGGAACGAGAAGGGGCAGCTGGGATTCGGGGACCGCACCCCGCGCATGAGCCCCGCCCTCCTGGCCGACCTCTCCTCCATCTCCCGCATCGCCTGGTACGCTCCGTTCACGCACACGACCATCACATGCCCCTCCCTCTCCACTCACGACTGTGCACGTGTGTGCAACACTCTCATATACATATATATTTCTATATATATTCATATATAGCGGGAAATGGCACACGGTGGCCGTAGCCAGTACGTACCTCCAATCTAACCTTCCCGTGAAGCGGAGGCATCGGGCGCGGCAGCTGATGATGCGCGTCCCCGTGGTGGGAGTACAGGCGGCGGGCAGATGTGGACCTGGGGCGACGGGGCTTCGGGCCAGCTGGGCCACGGCACCGAGGTACGTACGCCTCGTGCGCTGGCCCTTCTCCATTGACCGACCGACCGACCAACCAACCAACCTGCTCACCCGGCTCCGGTTGGGATCGCAGGAGGAGGAGCTCGTGCCGCGACAGGTGATGGCCTTGGAGCAGGTCAACATTATCGCCGTGGCCGCCGGCAAGGCACACACGGCCGCCCTCACCAGTACAGCCACCACCGCACACGCACACGCACACGCACACGCACACGCACACGCACGACACACACACGCCCACGCATCACACACACACACACACACACACACGCCCACGCATCATACACACACACACACACGGCACACAACTTTTCGTGTTACTTATCGTTGCCTGCGTCGTCAGGCCAGGGCGAGGTGTGGACGTGGGGCGATGGCAGTGACGGACAGCTGGGCCACGGGGCCGCCATCCTGCGATACTGCAAGCCGCTCCTGATCGAGTCCCTCAAGGGTGCGCTAGGGCACAGGCTAGCCTGCTGCTGTCCTCTGGCTCTAAGTGGGGAGTCGTGGGGGGGGGGTGTGACGGCACGCAGGCAGGTGCGTGGTGCAGGTGGAATGTGGAGCGCGCCACACGGCCGCCGTCGTAGATTCGGGCCATCTCTACGCGTGGGGCAACTCCAGGCGCGGAGCCCTTGGCGGGGGCCTCGCCGAAGAGGTGGTCAGGTGTGCGACTGTCCCTCCCCCCCTTTCCACGTGGATCATCAAGTCTCTGAGCCATGGCAAGCTGACGCGCGGTCCATTCGACAAATCAACCAACCAGCGTTCCGCGCGCGGTGGAGGCCATGGAGGGCAAGAAGGTGAAAGCAGTGGCGTGCGGCAAAAGGCACTGCGCCGCGCTGGTCCTCCACGCGTGGATCCCCGATGAAGAGTCTACCCTCTGGTACACCACCAACCCCTCCCCTCCCCCCGTGTCGTGTGTGCGTGTCGTGTGGCCGGACGTCGACGTTCACACTGGCGGGTGGGGGCATATGCAGTATGGCGTGCAAGGCGCCCTTCACAATGATCCGCCGGCGCCACCACTGCCGCAACTGCGGGGGCTTGTTCTGCGGGTCGTGCTCCTCCAAGCGCATTGCCCTCCTCGACGCGTACCCCCTCCACCATCCCCCCCCCTTTGTCCATCCATAGTGTTGCATGCTAACGGTATGCGGGGGGGGGCAATGGTTGGTGTGGAGCAGGGGCTTCGCGAGTCCGGTGCGGGTGTGCGACCGGTGCCACTCGTCCCGCACCAGCACGGGGTAGCCACAACTTAGCACACCTTTGGTGGTGG